TTTCAGATGTGGAGTACATTCAGTTATTATTTTTTCTCCACAAATGATGCTGCTAATCTGCTATGCTCTCAGATGAGTGCCTTATTAAAATCTTCAAATTTTCTGGTGCCTGTTAGTAAAAATGTGAAGTAAGAAAATTACCAGTCAAAATTCCCTGTTTATTCAAGTGCAAATTGATACTTACAAAATACACGTTGGTTTATAGCCAGGATTCTGCAATTACAGCATTGTCACTTAGGGACGTACCGTAGTAATAAGCAGGCAGTGAGCTAATGTACTTTTAGGGAAAGTTCCTTTCCTCTCGTTTCATTTAAAGTTTTTGGTCTACTGGCTGAAACGGAAAGGTTAAAAGTTATCTCCTCACTTGAATGCACAATGGAGAAAGATGGAGAGGGAGCACATTCTGTTGCAACCCCTTCATTGTCAGTAATATGTGTGTAGATTTCATCAACTTCAAAAGAAGCTTAATTAATTTAATTATTATTATTAAATATTATTATCTATTTAATTGCTAATCTGTATGTGTGTGTATAACAAATCCTTTCTTAGCGTATGAATCAATGTAGCAATTTTCAATATTTTGTGTTGATTAACTTCTCATTTTTATGTAATTAACATGAGCATTTATCTTGTTGGCTTTTTATATGCTATTTATATGGTTGTATATAGGTCGACAAGGAAACTTAACTTGCCTTTTTGGCAAGGCAATGGTGCTTATAAACATTAACCAAACTAGTATATTAAGCTAAACTTACTGATTTATTTTTTCTTTTCTTGCAGAGCTGGAGTGGACCAGAGAAGTTACTTGCTTTAGATGAACTGATTGATAGTTGTGAACCAACACAAGTAAAACACATGATGCAAGTGATAGAGCCCCAGTTTCAAAGAGACTTCATTTCCTTGCTCCCAAAAGAGGTGAGAAATATAGGTTAATACTGGACTATGCAGTGCATCAGCTGCCACCTTTTTGAAAACTTCCATGCTGATTGTGGCATTCAGTTTTGCCCTCCTAGTGATGTAAAATGATGTTAAAGAGCTCTGCAGTTAGTACACTGCCATAAAGTGGCAACTGCAATTTCAGATTAACGTACCTCTATCTCTTTAAAGGCATTTAGATACCTGGAAATACAGATGACTCCTTTAAACAAAATCCCAGCAGCTTTAGAAATATCTCTGAGTCTTAATTGGGCTGAGTTTTTGAGAACTAATTCTGTCAGGGCACGCACACAAAAATTTTCTCTGAATGCAAGACCTTTCTGTGCATTATTCTGTAAGTAGGAGCATTATTATGTAATGCTTTAAGTGGTGGGAATTTGCAAATACTGTATTTGAATTTATTTTAAACAAACTGAGCCCTAAAATCTTTACCAAGCTCCCCCAAAAGTAAAACCAGAAAAGCACTTCTTACTAAGGGTTAAGCCAAACCCTCATCAAGCAGATATCTTACAGTAAGTCCTTTACTGCAAATCAGATCATGTTGTATCAGGTTAAAGAGAAACTAAGATTTAGATTTCAGCGTGTGTAACTAAATGCTGCCCAGAGAAGAGTAACTCTTGATGTCCTCACAACTAGAACAGGAGGGTGGATATGAAAGGTTATAAACCCAGTGTGCTACAATTATTAAATGAGTGGTTTTTAGTTCCCTTAGAAGTGGTATTTCTGACCTTGGTTGATTTTAGGGAATTGGAAATTGTTTTGTTACTTGGAGTGAGGAGAAAGTCCATTTCCTTTTGCAAGATTGACCACCTGTTGGGTTTTCCATGTGAAAATTGTCATGAGGGCTGAAGTCTTTGTAAGTCTTCAGTTACTAACACATTACAAAACGAGTTCTAAGAAGATATTCTAGAGCTAGTGTTTGGTTGCTGTGTTTAACATTGTCTTATTACCTGACTGTTCTGTATGTCTGTTTCTTGACAGTTTTTCTGATGTATATCCTATTTTTGAATACTTAGATGTAGGAGACCCTTCTTTTCTTTTATAGACTGTCATATCTTCACAAGTCAGGAAATACCATGGCCTTGCCTTGCTGGTTAGCATTTGTAAGGGTTGGAAGCAATTTGTGGAACAAATATTAACTTAGTAGGCACGACATGAGATTAGTATTTACAGAAGCGCTTCCTGTGGCAGCCGCCTTCATCAGCGGGAAGGACGCTGGGGGAGGAGGAGAGTTTAGTGAGACCCTCACATGGTTGCCATGTTTCTAGAGAAGGTGCCCAAAGCAGCCGTAGTTCAGAGGCAGAGCAAGACATTGAGAAGACAGAAGATACTTGGCCACTTCTGCATCTATTGAATCTGGACATTTAATACAGAATTGGTAACAGTAACACAGCTCAGTTGTCTTGGCATGATTTAGTGGCAAAACTAATTCAGGTACAACCGGCGATGTAGTGACGCTGTGACTAGTGATCATGTGATTATTTCCGTTCTAGCAGTTTCTTCACCAAAAAAAACCTGCTATTTAGCTGTAAAAATTTATTTCCTATTTATGTATCTTGACTCCGTTGTAAGCTACTTACGTTTAATTTGTTTAGTTCCTTTTTAGTGTTTGTTCTTGCCTCTTGAAACAAGAACATTGTCAAGCACTTAGCTTCATTAAAGGCTGACTTCACCAGTGAAGCTGGCTTAAATAATTTTGGCTTCTTAACCCCCTGTCACTGTCACCAAAATTAACGGAGTTAAACAAACCAACCCATTGAGCTAACTCCACCATCTCCTCTCCTTTTTGAAGATCATTCTTCACCCAGATCTCCTAAGTGATGCTGTCCCCAGCTACTCACACTGGCTGCAGTTTGGGGTGAAGAACTGAGCTGTGGGGGCAAGAGTAAGTTTTTTAGGGTCAGTAATTCTGTAAACAGGCTTCCCTATCAAAGGCAGCATCCTGTGAACACACACTCTCCTGAGTCGTCGCTCCCCATTAACCTCTGTGGTTATCTCCAGTGCTGTTGGGTGCAGTGCAGGGATTTTATCACCTAAGATGATTTGGACAGGAGGGCTTTTCTTCAAGAACGTTTTTGGCATTGCGAAGACAGTAACTTAATAGCTGAATAACCAAGAAAATGTTTGCTTTCCTCCTGAGGAAACACGCAGTCAAACAATTAATCTGAAATGAATACTCCTGATTTCTTGCTGAGACTTTAGAAATAATTATTGAAATTACTTGTTTGTGAAAACCAGGTCTAGAAACCAAGAGAACGGGAGCTTTGCTGAAATCAGTCAAAGAAATTTTGTTGGTGCCGTCTGAGTGAAGAAAAAGGCAAGAGTCTCCTTTTATTGGGTATTATTAACACTACAGGGGAGAGTAGTCACCGCTGAGTCAAAGGTCAGGTCTTTGCTACCTGAAGTTTCCTTATAACTAGATCCATGAGCTGAGACAAAGGGACGTCATCCTTTATGCGCTGCTAATCTTAAAGTCAACTGCGGGCTGTGTTGACCCTTGATGACTATTTAGATAAATATAGTCTAAAATAAATGTCACCCATATGTAACCTGTTTTAGAATCAGTTGGCTCGCAGGTTTTAATTAACACCATCTTAGCAAGCGGCCGTATCTGTGCAGACAGGACAAGTGGTATTTAAACAAACTCTGCTGCCAGTTAAGGAATATCCAGCAAAAATGGAAAGGATCTCTCTCGTGTTTGAGTCTTGGTGCGTGCAGGAGGATCTGATGTATGTTAGGAAACTTCTTAAATAATGTGTGTTAGCACACATTAAATAATTTTACATGCCAGGAATTAAGACAGAAAGTCTGAAAGGTGGGGTGCAGTTCTTGCTCTTGCAGTAGAAAGCCTTAAACACCAGATGCTAAATGCTGACTGCCTGAGTAGGGACAGAGGGAAGATTCCTCAGCTTTATGGCCTGGGGTGTGCATGGGATCTAATGCATAATGGAAGACGCAGGTCCCTCAAACGTGAGTCCTACGTGCTCAACGTGAGCTGCAGGTGATGACTGGCAAACAAGGTGTGTGTGCAGGCCAAACGCAAGCACTTCTGGCACAACGCATTTTTATTTCCTGCTCAGTGCCTGGCTGGTGTAGATTACTGAAAGTAAACGTTTCTCACATAATAAGGTCAAAAATCTGCTGAGGTCAATAGCCTATGGTTATGACTTCCTTACTGAATTTCAGCCTGTGCTGCTTTGAAGGGCAGATTCTATTTATATACATCATAATTCCAGCTAAAAATTAAATAAAAAAATCCTAAACACAGAAAGATACGTCAAGCAGAAGTAAAAGTGGATGATCTGATTTCCCTGACAACTTTTGCATCTTATTAGTTACTGACAAAGACCCCGCTGTTTCAGCATGTAAGTAGTTCTCTGCATCACTTTTATGAATATTGTTCTTTCTGCAGAGTTTTTAGCCATGGAAGCAGAGTTTTTTCTGCTTCTTATATTTTCCATGACTGGGGAGATGCGTTATTGCTGTCAAGTAGAAAAACTCTATTTGGTCCTCCCACCCTTAAGGATAGCTGTCCCTGTATTTTGTGTTGTATATTAGATGCCTCTGTCCCTGCCTAAGACTTCAATACATTTGAAAATATTTGTAGAGATTTGGGGGGTTTACGTGGTCATTATATGGCTCATCTCAGTCAACTGAGGTCTGAATTCTCCCAATAATTTTGTCACATGGAAAAGTTCATCTTCTGTTTGTCTTCTGGTGCTCACTGGGATTTCCCATATGTTTCTGGTAGCACAGTACAGTATCCAAGTTAGGTATTTGAGTCCTGCATCCCAGTCCATAAAGCTCCCTGTAACACCACGTTGGAATCAGAAAATGAGTGCTAGGACACTGCACTCCTGCAGCTGCAGAGTCCTCCTCGACTCGAGTGCACGTAGCATTTCCTTCTTCTGGAGTCAGGTGTTACTGATCACAACATACTGTCCTGTTTGCTCACGTGGTGAGTGTTGTGTTTGCTAGTTAAACTCTCTAAATAACTTTTGGTAGACTTGTTAGCTAAAATAACAGACATAATTATTTTGGTAATAATTTTATTAATGGTTCAAAGTAACGTGGATTACATTTAAAAAAAAATAATAGTGAATTCAGCTGACATCTACTCTCTTGCAAATACAAGAATCTTTTCTGATGTGATCTGTATGGATTTAGTTACTTAAGATGATTGTTACACTTCCATGTGCCCGCTGGAATAAACTGTTGCTGTTACATTTGAGATTGTTTAATAATTTATTGCTTCAATTTTTTGTGTTTCAGCCCCTGATGTGTGATAATACTTGGAGTTACTTCACTTTTCCTTTCAAAAGCAATGCAGAAAATACATTTTCCTTTTCTTTCTTGCAGCTGGCACTGTACGTGCTGTCATTCCTGGAACCCAGGGACCTTCTGCAGGCAGCCCAGACATGTCGTTACTGGAGGATTTTGGCTGAAGATAATCTTCTCTGGAGAGAGAAATGCAAAGAGGAGGGTAAGGCTGAGGAAAAAAGATGGATGTAATGGTCAAAGTGTTGCTGTTGCAAAAAGTGCTGTTCATTTACATAATAAGCTTAAAGTTTTATGAAGACGATTCGTGTGACTTTAAATTTACTGCTAGTGATGCTTTGTGCTACGTGCTATGTATCTCTGTTGAAAGTAGGAAGCAGAAATAATCCATGGAGTACTAGAAATGAAACTAGAATTTAGTTTGAACATCCTTTTTATAAAGTATACTAGGTGTTATGTTTTTAAAATACAATTATTTTTGCTTTCTAAGTATTACTTTTATTCAAAATTTAACCAAAGCAAATAAGAGCTGAGAAGTAAAAATGATAGGAGTATAGTCTTTCAGTTTGTAAATAACATGGAGGAAAAACTGTTTCAGTGGCCAGTAGAAGGGATGCTGTAATTTCACATAATTGCTAGGAAAATTAACAGAGAAATGGCACGTGGTAGGGGGAGAAGGTGCTCAAGTGCTTAGAGAGGGACACACAATCCATAACCCACATGGATATCACCTGCTTGTGCCAAATCAAGAAGACATGGTGGTTCAAATCAAGAAGACATGGTAATACGAATGGGCAAAATAAGGCTCCCAGGAAAGTAGCCATATATTTGAGCACATGAAGAATGTAAGCTTTTATTTTTAAGCACAATTATATGAATAAGGAGTCTGTTCTGAGGGGCAGAGCGACACATGTGATCTCAGAGCAGTATCCGTCTCGGACACAGGCAAACACAGGGACCTGTCCTGGTGGCCTCGGGCTACAGAGACAAGAGCTTGTGGGAGGTCAATGCAAAGGCTTTAGAAAACGTGGCAATGTGAGTATAGGTGGCTATTTGTAAAGGCACCTAAATTAAATTAATTATTTTCATTTGCAACGGAAACCAGGTGTCTAACCTCTTAAATCTTCTCTAAAGATTCTCCTCTTACAAGTTTTAGTGAAAATGCATGAAGAGGACAGAATGAGAAAGGAGGAGAAGGTTGAGAGAGGAACGTGCCTACATTTGTGAGCTTAGAAGTAAAAATAAATATGGCCAGGCGTGAGAGCACAGACAAACAAACCAGTCTTGTAGCCTGCTTAGCCTTAGTGAGGTGCTCATAATACAAAGGAGCAGTTCGCTCAAGGCTTTTGCAGATAGAGACACCAGCGTAGTGGCTAAAAGGAGTGAAATCCACATCCTGGCAAGAGACAAGACTCTTGCTAGTCATGAGATGCGGTGGACAGAGAGATGGGTGAGAGAACTGTAAAAAGAAGAAAAAAAGAATCTATCTGTAGTAGCAAGGCTAAAACAAAGCACTACTGCTTAAGTATCAATTCAGAAAGGGCAGAGTTATACTTAAATTCCAGCCAGGAGAGGCCAATGGCAAAAACACACAGCCTTTTGCATCAAGAAGAGAATTAAGAGCTCACTAATATGAAGAGTCACAGTCAACTTAAAGGTAGTGAGGCAGGGTGACAGGAGAGGAGGATGGCAGATAGAAAAGTTTACTTTTTGAAGGGTTCCAAAATGAGCACCTGAGCAGTTATGGAGGTTGCGGGATGATACCCATTGGAATAAGGCAATATTCTGTTAAATTGCCTCAGAAAGGGGGATTCAGAACAAGCCAGTTGGTTGTCAACAAAGAACAATGAACTAGAGCATTTTCAGCCATGATTATGGTAATGATTATGCTTAAACAAGAAGGAAAGTGGTGTTAGGAGCTGGGGAGCAGGGCAGTGTCACACAGTGCAAGTGTTGGCCCCTGGGAGGTCGTTACACCGATGCCGTACGTGATGTCAGAGGTCACTGTAAGGGTTTGGGAAGGAGAGAAGTTGTTTTATTTGGGGTAGCCTCATCCCTCCCCCCTTTCTTTAAAATTCATTTCAGGGATTGATGAACCATTACATATCAAGAGGAGGAAAGTAATAAAGCCAGGCTTTATACACAGTCCGTGGAAAAGCGCCTACATCAGGCAGCACAGGATCGATACCAACTGGCGGCGAGGGGAGCTGAAATCACCCAAGGTGAGTGGGGCGCTGCTTCCGCGTGTCTTCTGCTCCTTTGGCCAACCCAGACTATCCCTGCACAAAAATAATTTATATTTTAGCTTACCCTGGATTTAAAGTTAATTTCTGATCACCATATTTGGAAATCAAAATGGGATTCTTCATACAGCAGAATACTTTCACTGCTCTTATAAAAATTTCTGGACAGTTTTGTGAATGCCTATAAATACGCCCATCTCTTTGAAACAGAAAATCTCAGAAACTTGGTATTTAAAATTAAACATGCACACACACATACAATATATATAAAAATACATATATATATATATATGCAAGTATTTGTTGAGCTGGGCATGTCACAACGTAAAAATACTCCACAACTATTCTGTGATCATATCATGCTTTATTTTTGTACATATTCTTCTAAATTAAGCAGCACAAGACAATAACTTCATTCCATTATAAGGGTTTTTTTTGTCTTTTGAAATGTTAAAATTCTTTAATGACATTGATACATTATTGTTACATCTTTTGCAATGTGAAGATATGAAACAATACTTAACCTTTTGTAAAATGAAATAGCAACTGTCTAATCAAACCTGGTATTGAACAAGCAGTCAGAAATATGAAGAAAAACCATAGCCTTTTAAGGTTTTAAGGAAATTTGCCCATTTTCTTGATTACTGCACAACAAAATAAGAAGAAGAACAAAAAAATTGCCTGTGGAAAACCTATGGCTATATCCTGCTGTTTCTTTGGCCGTGACTTATTTACATCTCTGGCAACGGCTCTGTGTTTCTTGCCTTGATACGTCACATCAAGTTATCTTGGAATTATTATTAAAATTACAGCCTCAGGCATTATCCAAATGCCCATTTCATTTCGATGAACATGTTGAAAAGTGTTCAGATATCTTAAATAAAAATTTCCTCATCCTGTGTGTTCTGATGAGGATTTTGTTGCTGTATTGCAGCAATATATACTGAATTGCAGTTTATCCCAAATCAAGCTTTGAAAATCCCACTTCAAAAAAGCAACATTCCAATCCACATTTCCAGCACATTAAATTACCACTTTTGTTTGTATTTAATTGAGTTAATGGTTTTCCAGTTTCTGACTTCGGTGCTGCCTGGCATTTAGTAGATTACAGTGCTTGGCTGGCAAGGAAAAAAACCAGACACGGTCAGTCTTGACCACCAAAATACAAATATGCAGCAAATAATACAACCTCATCCATCTTGTTTAAGATAGAAACAATTCTTAAAAGGGAAAAGTCTGAGTTAAAAAAAAAAAAAAAAAAAAAAAAAAAAAAAAGAGGTAATTGGTCCAATAATCAGCAGTACTAAAAGGAATTGGGTATCGTGTGGGGACTGTAACCAGACATCTGTTCACTAGGTCAGTAAAAAGCTTGAATTCTTGAACTTTGTTGTTGGATCCAACAACTTTGCTATAGGGAAAAAGTTAATTAAAAAAAAAAAAAAAAAAAAGAAAAATAGATGGAGTAACTGTAGAGGAATTGAGCAGTGTCCATTTACTAATTTAGCGTACTTTTTGCTGGTACTCTGGTTTTTCCTGCTGCTTTTTGGAGGCTTCCAATAACTGCCGGGAGCTCGCGAGGCAACGCACCATCGCTCCATGGAAGAAGGAAAATACCTTCTTTGGTCCCAGCTGGTGGTAAATTAGACTTGACACACGGGATTAAGGGGCTTTATTATTACTGAAGCAACTCTAGCATTTTATAATTTATGAATCAGAAGAGCACTTTGTTTCTCCTGCTTCTCTCTAATCTCCCGTGTTAAGTTGTGACCGTTGGTTTTTACGTCCTGCATGGCCAGGTGCTCAAAGGCCACGATGACCACGTCATCACCTGCCTTCAGTTCTGCGGGAACCGGATAGTGAGCGGCTCCGACGACAACACCCTGAAGGTGTGGTCAGCGGTCACAGGCAAGGTAGGTGGGATGTTCTGCTGAATTCCTTAGGAAACGAGCTACAGGTAGAGCTCTGGTGTGTCAGAAGTGTTGCTGTGCAGAGGGGTCGTTAGTGCCAGCTGGTGCAAGAGTCAGGAAAAGGACCGGTAAACATTTGGGTCGTCCTTTCCCACACAGAAACTAATCTAGTTCCAAAAAGTCACCTTGATGTGAAATTGCGATGCTGCTCATGTTACCATTGGCATATATCCTTGTTCTCTTGGCAATTCTGCTATTCTTGTGGAGTCGTTTGTGACATGGATTCAAAGGAATTTGGACAGATACGTTACTTTATCTTCCTTAAAGCTTAATTTAGCCTGCTTTTACCCCTCTGGATCTCCCTTTCTTGCTTGTCTCCTAGCATTCTTTCTCTTGTTTTCAAGTTATTGAAATGAGGTGTTCGTTTTATTGGCTCTGATTTCAAATACAGAATTTGTTTTTCTTTCTAAGCTACTATATTGCTGAGCCACCAAAAAAAAAAAAAAAAGTAACTTGCTTTAGGTTTAAATATTTCCTATTAAATTAGATCCAGCTCAGGCAGGAATTTAATAAGCTTCAATAATTTAATTTTGGCTTAGAGAAGCAAAACAATATGTGCAATCAAAAAGACAGTACTGAACATTTCACTCACGTTAGAACATCACAGCTACTCAGCACACAGATTTTTTGTTTTAAGGTGATTGACTGACCGTGCTTCAAGGATAGAGAGAAGGCCTCAGGGAAATAGTACTTTTTCCTTCTAGACTAGTATTGTGTGTACTTAGTTGTTTTAATAATATAGTTGCGTGAACAACAGGACAGCTATTGAGGATAACGTGCTTAAGATGTAAAAGGTATCCACTTCATGTTGTTGAAACTGAATGTATTAAGCATTTGTCTTTGCACGCCCAGAAGATCCTTGATGGGATTGTAAATACTACTGTGGGGAAGGATAAAAGTAAAAGCCATGGGCAGCCTCACCCTGCCTCTGTTGGCTTCCCTACAACAAACTGTCTAATTAACAAACCCATATTGAAATTTACATTTTTTTTTAATTGAAAAGGGCAGCCTAAACTCAATTGAAAAATACTTCCTTTGTACATACCACCCTCTCAAAAGCAAAATGTTCCTTTAAATGTACAAAAGTGATCATAGTAGCATGACTTAACAATCCATGTTGAGTAATTTTTTGAAAGTAATTACAGATCCTGGTGTGACTACTTACCCCAAACCTTTAAGAGAGCCAAAAATTGTATATGAAAGACGGAAGAGTGCTGTATCAGCCCTCATGCTTACTGGTGCTGAAGAATTAATAAAATGAAAAAACCCTAAAGGTTGGTTTGTGCAAATGAACATGACTAAATAATCCCCTTGACAGATGTAAAGCCCAAAATAAGGTTTCTGTGTTCTTACTGCTTTAGAAGGATGATTTCTTAAAATATGAGCAAATCAGTTGAAATTTTAAAAAAACGGGAACTGTAAAAGTGAATAACAGCTATGAACTGAAAAAGATGGATTTGATAGCAGTGAGTTAAGCAAGGAGCCAGGAATCGCAGAAGACTGGTAAAAAATGTTAAAGAACAGGAAATCTATGTACATCAGAAAAGCAAGACATTTTCAAGGATGTTAGAAAGAACAGGATATTAATAACAGAAATTAGTATACTATCACTGATGCAGAAAAAATATTTATTTTGGGAGAAAATTCATGTGATGGAAACGCAGCATGCAGTGATAACAGAACATTTCAGTTCAGCAGAAACTCATAAGGATGTCAAACAACAGCTCCCAAAGTTGTGGTTTTTCTTATTCCAGTTGATCCAGATAATCTGTACTTGATGATTTTTTTCCTAAAGTAACCTGTGGGGTAAAATTGGTGTTTTTTCAAAAGGTATGAAGGAGAAGATGGATAGGATGGTCAGAAAGCTAAAATGTGTTGATAGTTAAACGGAGTAAACTGAAAGACTGGGTATTTAGGATACATTATCCTATGGATAAAAATATTGGACTACGTCAAGAGGAGTCAACTAACAGTTCAAGGAAGGCCAGGGAAACTAATGCCACTTAGCATTAGATTACAGAAAAAGAGATCATCAAACTGTCTTGACCTCTTTTCTCGTGCAGTTACAGGTTTGACTGATAAAAATAATAGTGCAGAAATAGATGGCTCTGTGCTCTGCAAGACCGTATCCCCACGACACCCTTGAAGAAAAAAGCAATGCAAAAATCAACATGGCACATATTTAAATGGGTTAGAAAGTGGGTAATTATAGAGATCATGTTGTTAATGTAAATGCAGAATCTTCGTGGAGTATCTTTCTAGAGGGGTCTTGCAAGGATCTCTTCTTGTCCGTGCTAATTAGCACTCACTGCTGTCTGGTGAGAAAGCACATATAGTCGTTACTTGTAAGGAAGAGAGGCTGAGAGACAGGGATAAGTCATTGTTCCAGAGTGATGGAGGGTTTATGGGAGTAGGTGTGAGCAAACGCTGGCTCTACACGGTGAGAAACCACGTCAGGCATTTGGGATCAAAGAAGGTGGGTTGTGCTCATGTAGTGTGGGATCCTCTCCTGGGCAACAGGAAAGTCTGAAAAAGGTTTGAAAGGTGATTTTGCAGTATTGATGCTGTAGCGACAGCTTACAGAATGAGATGTTTCTTGGATAAACAAACAGAAAAAAATAAAATAAGAGTATATGGTTTATAGATTGGTGATAAAACTACTAAGCAAATGTTCTCTCCAGTTCTAATATTTGTGCTTCAAAAAGCTATTGGAAAACTTGCCATGACTCAGAAAAATGCCAGGAAAATGACTCAAGGCTGCAAAACATGTCCTGCATTGAGAAGTTTGGAAAGGCAGTTCAGTTTATGTAGGGGAAGACTAGAGGGAGAATTCCTTAGAGTGGAAAGGTGGGGTTGTTTAGTTCAATCGTAAAGCAGTCTCTGGGGATCTTCTAGCTCTTGCTATGAGAGCCTACTGTTACCTTCTAGGTTACTTCTTCTTAAGTTTCCATTCAGCTGTGTCAGAAGGGTAACTGAGCAAAATATTTCTTTTCAGTGTTTGCGAACACTGGTTGGGCACACAGGCGGCGTCTGGTCATCACAGATGAGGGACAATATCATCATCAGTGGGTCTACGGACCGGACGTTGAAAGTGTGGAACGCGGAGACTGGGGAGTGCATCCACACCTTGTACGGACACACCTCCACCGTGCGCTGCATGCACCTCCACGAGAAAAGGTAAGGCTTTCTCCAAAGCTACGGCCACACTTTGGCTTCTAATTCACACTCGTGTTCACAGAAAATGCCTGTTAAACTGGGGTTCCTCATCCAACATGAAGTACAAACCAGGCAAAGCATTCACACTAAACTATGTAAATCAACAAAAGGGAGGCGATGATTAATAGAAGCAAAAGCATAAGAGTACTAATTAAAGAATGGAAAATTGAGTCATGTACTTTATAAAGTCACATTCTGTGTTATTTCAAAACATTCTTTGTTACGCTGTGATCTGGTCTCCCACGCTCTGAATAATTTCTCCTTTTTGTCAGTGCTACAAACTTTACTCATTTTACAGAATGACTTTTTAAGTATTGTCACTGCAGTATTTTATTAAAATTTAACTGATGATATCATAATTTCTACAGTAGTAAACCATGTCTTGATTCAACACTCTTTTACTCGGTTGTGTATGGACAGGAGTGCCTGTTGGTTGCGTTTCTTTTTTGAATAATGATGAAGTTTTTCTTTATAAGTTCCATTAATGTTAATTCTTTCTATTTCTGTTCTTGCATAAAGAAGCTTTTAAAAGTATAAACTTAAAAAAATCCATCAGAATAACTGTTACTTTACTAAAAGTAAAACTTCTAACAATCTTCTTTGTTTAATTGTTACAATTAGTTAACTCAGTCATTAAAACAGAGTGCTTATAGCACTGGCTTGAGCTCAGCATGATCATAAGCTTTTGTAGATAGATACAACAGTCCACATAATTTCTCAGGGCGTTGTTTTGCTGTCCAGGACTGAATTACCTTTTTAAATACTGATTGCCAATTATATCAAATAGACAGATCCTGAGGAGGTGAGCAGAGCAAGGAAAATAACCACCTCCAGTCATTTGCAACTCTAATAAAATGTCATGCCACACCAGATCTTGGGTGGCTAGTGGAGCAACGCTATCTAGTCTCCCAAATTAAAACTCACAATAGATTTATACCCAGGTCTAATTGTTTTAATGCTTCTATGTCCAACGCTAAGTACAGGAGGGGTTTTCTTGTTCCTCCAGAGTGGTCAGTGGTTCTCGAGATGCTACACTGAGAGTGTGGGACATAGAGACGGGCCAGTGTTTACACGTTCTGATGGGCCACGTAGCTGCAGTCCGGTGCGTTCAGTATGACGGCAGAAGGGTTGTAAGTGGTGCATATGATTTTATGGTCAAAGTGTGGGATCCAGAGACAGAGACCTGTCTGCACACGCTGCAAGGGCATACTAACAGAGTCTACTCATTACAGGTATGTCATTTTCATCTGCTGCTTTCGTTTCCTTAAGTAACTTTTAAAGTCTATAGCTTATTTCACATTGTTTAATAAATTGTGGGTACCTACTCCAGAGTTATACAGGCCACAACAATATAGAAGCATCTGTGATAGTCCTGTCTTTCATTTTGTTACAGTAGCTATGTGTTGTCCGAATTTAGAAACTGAGATTCTTTTAGAGGTGCTATTTTTTTAAAAGCACTCAGTACAATACACAAATGCCAACGCCAGCAAGTTAAGTAGTTTTCTGGGCTGTTGCATTGTTTGGTTCTTTGGGTTGTTGTTTTAAAATCTTGCATGTATCTTGGAGCTATGGTTTTGATTTCCCCAAACAAATTCTAGTGTTACTATTTTAAATAAATCAGATGATATAGTAATTGAAAATGCACCGAAACCCCTCATTGGATTAATGTTCTGAATTACGCAGATCTGTCTATCCTTATTTTCTAGTCTCATCTTCCAGTTCCAAACTGTAATTCACAGTAAGGCTGAACCAAACATTTTAATGTTCCAATGTAAATCTCCAGCCTTCTACTTCCTCCGCTCTGAGCAGAGGCCAGATCTGCAACTGTGAGGCTTTGTCACCAGAGACGTGGTATTGTAGATGCAGGTCTTGATGGTACCGCTCTGTGACATGGCTCTATAGCCCACCAGTCACCCCACTGCTCATCAGAACTCTGCTGGCACAGATACACGTAGCCTCCATGTAGGCTCTTCTTACCTTTACCAACCCAAAGGATCATCTTGTTCATTCACAGAGTCAAAGCATCACTTCCAGGCGTTGAAAGGCAAAAGAAATTAATTTCATGCTTGTGCCTGTTCTCACCACAATCTGGCAGGACTTGAAAAAGAAATTAACAAAGACAGTTCAAAATGGGGAAATTGCATTCGGCATGGAACTACTCTGGCTTGTGGCTCAGAAAGTGAAGCTTGGTGCTAGAGACATTTTTCATAAAGTGTATCTTTCATAAGGTGTATCTCACCACAAGAAATGAAATATAAACAAAATACCCAGTCAGTTTCCTTTCCCAAAATATGTCATAAAATTTATCAAAAATCTGCAGCCCTTCTCTTATATTCACATGCTGAGGAGTATTCTCTAGACAAGCAGCAAGTCAAAAATGCTATAATATAATGCCAATCTCTTAAAAATATACTGAAGGTTGTATTTCATCTAGTGCAGTTTGGGAACATTGTATGTTACTCTGCCTTATTTTCACCAGTGGCTCTTGGTTTGACCTATGAATATTCATGTCTTGCTCTGATACTATAGTAATAATGGCTGAAATAATTGGGTTATGTTACACATTCCGATGCTGTTTACACCCTGTAAATGGAACTTGGAATTCTAAAACAAATTTCTGGGGTGCAGGAGGCTACAGGTGCTTACAGTTTTAGGATAGAAAGAGTCTTTAAGAGTGCATGGTGAGCTCCTGCCCTTTGGCCTGAAACAGCCCAAACAGCAGAACTCCCATAAACAGAACAAACTGGCTGAATAACCAGCCTGTCCTCCCTGTCCTGCTCCGTGGCACGTTCTGTTATTCCCCCAGTATTTCCCCATTTGTAGGCCCCTTAACATTTTCCAGAGATCCTTATGTGGCAGTTGAAGACTGCTGACCATGTTGTGTTTTCTTACTCTCTTGTAGCTGCCTTTGAAATAATCCACAGCTTCTCAGGGTTCATGGATAACAGCTCAACCACTGATCCACACTGTGGTCTGTTTGGCTATAGCAGTATCAGAGTAAAGTGTTTTCTTGCTGCTCAGCCTTAAAGCTCCCTTTCCGAATACCTTATGTACCTGGAAGAGAATTAATTTGTGGGAAGGGGGGAAAGAGTTCGAAATTTGTTGCATCAATCTGATTTAGGTCTGTTTAGGGAAGAAAACTGGTCCGTGGTGTTTCCTCGCAACAAGTCTGTTGGGCTACTGAGCACTCCTTGTCCTTTTATCTGAAATCAAAACTGTTCATATCCTCTTTTGAAAGCAGGGTGTCCAAAATGGGATGCAAAATGCCAGTCAAAGTCTTATCATTGCTTACTAGAAGTGAAAAGTTATTTTACATGCTTTATATAGCATACCCCATTTCAGATACCAGAGTGTCTGGGGTTTTTTTTTTTTAGTATATTTTCACCAGAAATGCAACATATACAGCAGAAGAGCAGTCTGTATGTGCCAGTCTCTCTGTACATTTTTTTGAACCTAGGTGCCATGCTCAACCATGTTTGATTGTAGAGATCTAAGAAGTTTGTTTTCTGCAGGTTTTATAAAAAGCAGCAGTCTCAGATAGCTGAGTTCCCTTAATTGGGTTCTTTCTTTACCATTATTAGAAAGCAGTCAGTCCACATGGACAAATAGTGTCAGATGGCCCTTGCTGTAACAAAGCCTCCTGCCCAGCCATCGGCCCGGGCTGCAGCTGGACCCTCATTCATTCCCTGCCAAGCTCAGAGCTTCACAATTTTCTCTTGACTTTTACACTCTGTGCTTTGGGTCAGGTCTACCATTTCAAATGTGGTCTCAAATCCTAATGAAATAACTAAATGCCAGATATCACTTTCCCCCCCCCAACTCTTTCTGATATCTCTAATAATGCTGTGAGCAAAGTTTTGAATGGGATAGTATCCCTGCATCGAATTTCCCTTCCTCTTTATGAGAAAATACAACCGAGAGATCTGCTGTTTTTTACGTGGCTTTTTGCTCTGCCACAGAAAAAAAAATACCATATTGGTTAAGATCATTTTCCCACAAATCTGTTTGCTGCTACTCACCGCATTGCTATGGGCCTACAACCAGATTGATTATTTGTTCGCTCCTTCTGGAAATTGAAGTCAGGCTGACCGATCGTCATTCCCCAGCTCCCATCATCATCTCCTTCAATAAGGAAAGGAATTGTATTTACTCTCTGAAGTCTTGTCTGTCTTCCACGAGTTCTCAAAGACCGCAGCAGATGTCTTGGAGATTGCCTTAAAACAACTTGCCTTACGTGGGTTTTTTTCCCATTCTAGCAAAAGCTTGTACTCAGTTGTCAGTGGTGCTAGTGCTGTGAGCCTACACTCAGATGGCAGAGGACTGAAGCAAAAAAAAAAGTTAAATAGCTGGCCTCACTTTTGGTGTTTCCTTCCCACTGAGCATAAATGAGCTTTTTTTTATTTTGGCCTTCCTCTTGGTGGTTTTTGGGGGTTTGTTTTGTTTTGGTTTTTTTTTTAACAGAATAGGGGTTTATCATCCTTAACGGCTCTTGCTAGTTTTATCTTGTTTTGTGCCCTGCCTTTCTGATTTTGTCCCAGTGTGCTCTTTTAAACACATCTATTGATCTAGTTTCTACTTTTTGTACAATTCCTTGTGCTTTAGCCAAGTGGGTCTTGGTAATTTACTACACTTCCTATCTTTCCTTCACACAAGGACAGTTTGTGTCTTTAAGAAAGTGCCAACTCTCCTGAACTCTTCTTCTCCTCTGAGAATAGATACATAAAAACCTCATGGGAAGGAAGTCTCAATTTATTGAAGTATTCCTCCTTGAAGCCCACTGGTTTTATTCTACTGCTCTTTTTCCTTCCTTTTTTGAGAATTCTGGACTCTTATGTCATTGTCACCATCAATCAAGTCGCTTTCCACCTTTATATTCTCTACATGTTCAGTCCTCTTGGTCAAAAGTCTCATCTCTTAGCTGATTTCTCTCCATGATCACGTTCTACATATTTTTATATATATATATATATGCCTAGAAAATCCAAGAATTTGGATATCTGTATTAGATCGTATACCTTTTCCAACGATAACTAAAGTTGAAGTTCCTACTGAACACAATTAAGATTATAAAATGGCTAAACCCAGCATTTTTCAATTACATCCCTTCCATTTTCCTATGTTTTGGCTTCTGTGTAGATGATTCTGGATTAATGTTTTTACCCTTCTCCAGCTTAAAGTCCCATCAAAACTTGTGAAAAAGCAGGTTTGGCTTGTTAATGTCATTATTTAGAAAACTACATTTTCTTACTATTGCACACTGCAGTATAGTCAGGATTCTGTTGTGTTTAAAAGCGTTGTATTAATATTTAAAAAACCAACGGTCCAGAGTCTTTCTCCTTGAACCACATACCTCCTAGACCATGTCTACGACACTGACCATTAATCAATCACCTGCTCTGGTATCAGACATGGCATCTCTGTTTAGATTGAGTTCTTTGTAATGCAGCTTCTAAATATGTATAGTATCTAATGTTGCACTTAGTGAATAAAATGCTTAACAGCCTTCTTCATACAGAGCATCGCAAGATCCTAATATAATTGTTTATAATAGATTTACCTTTCTTGTAGTTTGATGGTATCCATGTGGTGAGTGGATCTCTTGACACTTCCATCCGAGTTTGGGATGTGGAGACGGGCAACTGCATTCACACGCTCACAGGCCACCAGTCTCTGACGAGTGGGATGGAGCTCAAGGACAATATACTCGTGTCTGGGAATGCCGATTCTACAGTCAAAATCTGGGACATTAAAACAGGACAATGTTTACAGACATTGCAAGGTGAGCTTAAATTACATGGAAATCAAACTGCCTGCAGTAATCTGTGCTGCAGATTCTATAGAAAAAAACTATACAAAGAAATGCACGGACCGGTTACAACCTAAATATTTTTCTGATGACAGCTGCATGATCTTTCTCTGAATTAGAAGAACAAAATGTATTTAATCTAATCTATTCAAATCACTTGCCTATTATGAAAGGCAGATGGTCTGGGCTGATAGCAATTTGCTACGGGTATATTAGCCTAATAAGCCACAGAAATATGTAGGAAATGACATCTCAAAACAGTCAGTCAATGTATTTATTTAGGGGTCACTTGGATGTTTCAAAGCCTACTGATTAATTGGATCAGGAGGCAAAGTACACTGTCTGTTGCAATAAATCAAGAGAAATGAGTGGAAGATATTTTCTTCATTTCAGTAAGAGAAAGATTTCCGTTTCCGTTCTGACAGTTGCCACTCAGACACAGTGCACACGGACACACTGTTTTGTTCCCCCCCACAATAAATGTCATTCCTATATAAAATATGCAGCATTGCTGCCTGGAGCAGAAAATTACATTTCCCTATAAAGCAGACTCTGCTACTTTAACAGTATATGTTTATGCGTCAATATATAACCGTCAATATTTACTGATAGAGTAAACTCATAATAACACTTCAAAGGGACGGGGAGACAAACGCTCACAGCAGTCACCTCATTCCGGATGGTTAAGTTCATTTTCATGAATGTCCAAGTGTGCACTTGCCCTGCTGTTTGCACACAACAGACCGAGATCGCTCGAACAAAGAAGGAAATATTTGAGGATTTTTCTATACCTGCATTCACTTTTTGAAAGCACAGCAAGGCTTCTGTACCTTTTAATGCACAGAAACTGAGTTAATGCTTCTAGGTAGACAAAGCTGTATGCAAATAGCTAGGTGGTTATTTTATACGCAGTGCTGTCTGACATCATTGCTTTCTAATTACAACTAAAACCATTTTGGTTTACCGTTACAGGTCCCAACAAGCATCAGAGTGCTGTGACCTGTTTACAGTTCAACAAGAACTTTGTAATTACCAGCTCAGATGATGGGACTGTAAAACTTTGGGACTTGAAAACGGGTGAATTTATCCGAAATCTAGTCACATTGGAGAGCGGGGGAAGCGGAGGCGTCGTGTGGCGGATCCGAGCTTCTAACACAAAGCTGGTGTGTGCGGTTGGGAGCCGCAACGGGACTGAGGAAACAAAGCTGCTGGTGTTGGACTTTGACGTGGATATGAAGTGACGGGCAGAAAGATGAATTTGTCCAAACGTGTAGACGATGTTCTCCTTTCCCTCCCCCTGAAAAAACAAGAAAAAAAAAAAAGAAAAAGGAAAAAAATCCCTTGTCCTTGGTGGTGCAGGATGTTGGCTTGGGGCAACAGATCCTAAAGACCTACAGACTACGAAGGAGAAGACAAAGATGACAAACTATAACTGACAAGAGAGGCATTTGCTGTCTCGTCACATAAAAAGGCTACACTTTTGACCGGGGCAGCTTTGCAAAAATACGACTTTCGAAATGAAACCAGGTGCAATTATTTCTTTACTTTCCTCCAACTGCTCCTTGAGCAATTTGGAGGTGAAAAAAAAAATATATTGTTACAGTTCTTGTTAACAGGTTATTTTACCACAAAGATCTTGAAAGAAGCTGCACAGGGCAGTGTGCCCGTGCGCCCCTGGGCCACCCCGGGTCCCGGCAGCCCCTCCGAGCAACGCGCTCTCCCTTAGCCCGGCGCCGAGCGGGGGGTTGGACCGGACGCCCTCCAGCAGTCCCTTCCAACCTCTCGGGCAGTCACTGGTTGACTTTCAAAAACTAGAGAGCATCTGCAATGAAAAAAAGCAAACAAAAACAAAAGAGTCCATTCCTGGTGTGGAAAAGCTAAAATATTACTGTGAATTGTTTTGTACAGTTTTATCAGAGCTTTTTCTTTTTTTTCTTTTATTCCTCTCTCTTTTTTTTTGCCAACCATTGCCAATGTCAATCACAGTATTAGCCTCTGTTTAATCTATTTACTGTTGCTTCCATCTACACTCTTCAACGCATAAGTTGCTCTGAGGTGGCAAGTTGTCCTGGGTTTTGAGAGTCCTCTGATGGATTTAATTCGCAATGCTGGTGCTAGAAGTAGGTCTTCAATTACGGGATTGTTGTCCCACCCCTGTACTGTATTCCCAGTGGCCAAACTTATTTATGCTGCTAAATGAAAGAAAGAAAAGCAAATTATTTTTTTTTATTTTTTTTTTCTGCTGTGACGTTTTAGTCCCAGACTGAATTCCAAATTTGCTCTAGTTTGGTTACAGAAAAAGACTTTTTGCCACTGAAACTTGAGCCAACTGTGCCTCTAAGAGGCTGAGAGTGGAAGAGTTTCAGACAATTAAGAGTGAAGTTTGCCTGCAAATAAAGAATTGAGTGTGTGTGCAAAGCTTATTTTCTTTTTTCTGGGCAAAAATTAAAACACATTCCTTAGAACAAAGCTATTGCAGCCTGTTCTGTGGGGAAATTTTTCTTTGTGAGGGCTGTGGTGAATGGAATGAACATACATTAAAAAAAAACTGACAAAATTTTTAAAAAATATTATAAAATACAAAAATGAAAATAAAGTTGCTGGTCAGTCTTAGTGTTTTACAGTATTTGAGAAAAAAACAACTGTTACAGTTATTGCTGGGAGGAACTGACAGAGCAAAAACTTAAGTTTTTGTAAAGATGTCACATGCAAACAAAATGAGAATTGAAAGAGTCAAATGGTTTGCCTCATTCATCTGAGTAACCTGGTCTAGTGGGAGGTGTCCCTGCCCCCGGTGGGGAGGTTGGAACTAGAGGATCTCTAAGGTCCCTTCCAACTTAAACCATCCTATGATTCTCCAAGAGCCACAACTCAAGCTGAACTGTGAAAGTGGTTTAACACTGTATCCTAGGCGATCTTTTTTCCTCCTTTTTTTTTTGGTTTTTTTTTTTGTTTCGTTTTGTTTTATTTATAGTCTGATTTAAAACAATCAGATTCCAGTTGGTTAATTTTAGTTATGTAACAACCTGACATGATGGAGGAAAACAACCTTTAAAGGGATTGTGTCTATGGTTTGATTCACTTAGAAATTTTATTTTCTTATAACTTAAGTGCAATAAAATGTGTTTTTTCATGTTAGCATGTCTTTTTTTTTTTTTCCCCCCTTCTATTTCTTGTTGTTAATTTACTATCACATACCCTACAGAGGGTAAAGCAGGTCAAGTTGCTCAGCTTACCGGTAGAGATGCTAAAATATGTGGCAGGACTTTTTATGTAAGGCGTCCCCAAACAGGTGGCGAGTGTCCTCTCCTGCAGTTGCCGTACAGGATTTGTCACATGGGCCTCCACAAACATGCAGGAAAGCCATTAGCTTCCCATCGCTAAGAACATGTCAGGATTTGACTCTGGAGGGAGTTAGCTATAAAAAGCTGCTCAAGTACATAAAACTTCTCCCAACAGCATCTTGTTACTGCAGCTGAAATTGAAACCTGATGTTTATTGTTTATGGATTTCAATCAATTGATTGCAGCCTGACAGCAGAGCATAAATCCATAAATACAACTAAAATCAAAGTTAGGATCGTAGGAGAACTCAAAGCCTCTAACAAAGAAGAAAAAAAAACCCACATCATTCCAGATCGGTCCAACAGCAGTTTTATCAGTGCCCTGAAACCAAGGTAAGTCATCAGCTGTCTCAGAAACTTACCCCTTGAGTGTCAGTTTCTCTCTTAGATCTCCTTGACCAAAAATCATTGTTTTCTTCTGTGGGAGACTTCTGTCAGGGCATACTTGTTCGTGACAGTTTTTCCTGTAGAAAACAGTCGTTAAAGAAAACCAAACCAAAACATTAGAAGAGAAAATGCAGGAATGGAAAAGAAAAATATTTACATACTTCTCCATCTCTGACTTTGTGCTATTCAAATGCAGTTCCAATCCCTACATTACGCAAAACAAGCAATGCTGAAGGATCTTGCTTCCATCTGGACTCTAGAGATTAAAAGCCATACAAAATGACCGAGCAGCTACAAATTGTAAAAATTTGTTCATTGAGTTGGTGTTTAAGGGGAAAAAAAAAATGCGGCAAGCACTGACATATAAAAGCTATGATCAGCTCAGTATTTACGTAAAATAATTAAAGAGCTAATCCTCTCCTAAAATGACAGTGCAGGATTGCCAGGACTTCACGTTGGTCTGCTGAGAACACAGGCCAGGACTCGGCCTCGCGATGACAGTCAATCGGGGCTGAACTCCTTGGGAGAGCGGATGGAAAGGGAAGGGTAGAAATATGAATATTTAATGCCAGGAACAGAGGAATGGCTTTTAAGATTATGTAATTTTTTTCCCATGATTTGTAGAATTTGCAACAACATGTTTTCAAAGAGCAATGGCGCTCGCCTGACGGTGCAGGAGAATGAGAGATTTCTGCGTAACGCTGCGCCGAAGGGCAGGAATACAAATCGGGGCAGAAGAGTGAAATGACAGAAGAGGAAGACTAACAAATCCAAATCAGTTCAAGCTGTGTTTAAGTACACTCTAAGCAGCCAATATGACCAGGAGCAAAATGTGCTTAACCAGAATTCAGTTTTCCGGTTGATAGTGTAGTCCCGACACTATCTTATGTTCAAATTAATGCAGAATAACTTGAACCTTTAAGCGAACCACATTTATAGCTGCCTTCATCCCAGATTTAGGGTTTTTAAAAAAATTGTACTGGCTGCAAAGACAAGATATGACAGACTGTCACAGAGTTAATTGTGTTAGCGCTCTAAAGACTTCTATTTCTTGAAAAGTCTGTTTAGGTTTGTAGAAGTTGATGGTGCTTATGAAACACCTGAACAACGTAGCTCAATAAGCAGAAATCTGTTGATTTATTAAGGTGACAGCATTTAAAATGGGCCCATAGTAAACACATCACTTGTAAGAAACTGTTGAAGCACTTTTTCTTCACAGTTTCCACATTACCCCCTTTATGTTGATGCACTCACCATAGCGTAGTTCACTTGGTACGGAGTCTTCAGTTTGGCAGCACTCACACCAATTAAGACCATTTAGGAAACGTCTTCATTCCATGTAATTACATTTTGATTTTAGGGTGGGTGGTTTTTGTTTTTTTTTAAATAAAAACATTTAAGAATACTACTTTAAGACTATAACTGCTTTATGCTCTCAACACTCAGACACTTGTTGAATGTAGTGGCTTACTCATCACAGGCTATGTCAAAATATCTGCAGCTATCCCAGAGAGAGAACTGCAGCAGTGTTGCTGGCATATTACCCTCTTGTTTTAATGCCGATTCCCTTTTTTATTTTTTTGTTTTGACTCCAGAAAGAGCCTCCTCATTTTCTCCTGTATCTGAAGCCAAGTCAACAACATTAAAAGATGTTTTTATTTTTAAAGGTATTATTCTTAGTGGACCTTGATTTTAGCTAACAGTAAGTCAAAGTAGTGTTTGCCACTTTCTCCAAGAGTCTGTTCCTATGGTCTCAATTTACTTAACTCAAGAGAGAAGACCAGACATTTAACAGCTGTGTCTACACCACTTTGCAGTTCAGCTCAGCAGCTCTCCCAGCAGAGCACGGTGCTGCCTGGAAGCCCACACTCGGGATGCCTTCGGGGTGTAACTACGACTGGAGCGGAGCAGCTCTCCAGGAGCACAGCCCAGGCACTCCAGCCACTAGTGGAGCACGTGGGACCAAACCAGACCTAGTCCCAACACCTCAAAAATACATTCATGTGGCCATGAGGTCCTCAGGACCAGCAGATTGGCACTACGGCTCTGCTCCTGCTGCACAGCACTAATTGCTAGTGTGGGCATCACCTTCAACAAACCCTCTCCTGATTCGTGATCAGCAACCAGCTCCCATCCAGCAGAAAAACAGAATCCATCTCATACCACTACAGAGTTCTTGCCAGAGAAGAAGTTCAGATGCCTTCAACTCTCAGCACGCTTATGGGGAGGTGTTTCTGATCGTCTTATGGAATCCAGTTTCAAAGAAATATAAATCTCTCACTATCAGTCTGGCCAACATTTTCTATCAGCAAGTCAACACCTGAATCATTCAGAAAAAGAAATAATGAAATTCCATAATTAGATAGGTGAAAGAATCAGATTATAACAATAAAAAAGAAAAACCTGCCTGTAATTACGAGTCACTCTGACCAAACACCTGTTAATTAGTTAAAGGATAATATCCAAACATACTGACCACTGAATCTGCAATGAAAGTGGGAATATTATTTTCTTTCCATCTCCTGCCATTTTATCTATAACCCTGATCCCCAACATTGTGCAAAGATACACAAGCTGTGGGAGGATGTTCAGTATTTTATGATGATATATGATGCTTATCATTACACATGAAGTATATGATCTATATGCTATACACCAGGTTTTTCAAACTTCATCTAAAAATGGCATATACAATTTTTCAGACATCTCTTCAAGCACCAGTGCAGGTTTATAAATACAACAGATGTTTTAACATAAAAGCTGTTCCAGATCCCTTCTGAGATAGAGAGTCTGACAAACTAGGTGTCACCAAAAAGTCGGCAGCCAGGAGAGGCTCCTGCTCCCTATCCCCCAGCCTGCCAAGCAGCCCAGCAGCTGCAGCGGTACCGCAGAGAGCAGAAACGGAGCGTTGTAAATGCTGCAGCACTTCCCGGTTGCAGCGGCCTAAGAACCAAGGGCTTTATGCCCACACACGCTGCACTGCTCCAGCACAGACAGGTCACAAGAGTCCCACAAAAGCAGAACTAGGCTAGGACACAATCTCCCCAGCAACCAGAGACGGCAGAAATCATTAATCACAAAAGTTGCCACTCAAAAGCTTGATAGCCCAGAAGAACCCAGCAATGTTTCTACACCTTACGCTACACAGGACAACCGAGATTCGGCCAAAGGCATCCTCCAGCTCTCCTCTCCTTTGTCCTCACCTCTGCCTTGCTTAGATCCAACTTCAACTCCCTGGTCCCTGCTCACAAGCTGATTTTGACCAGCCCTACGTGACAGCAATAGTTTTGGCGAAAGACAGGCTAAGCTATTTGCCTTCTGCATCTCTGTGCTGCTGGAATCTACACTGTACTTTCTGCATGGGGACAGCAGAACAACAGTCTAACACCAAATGCTCCAAGGTAGTACGTGAAGATGAGAAGACATCATTCAGCCCAGAGTGAGAAATCTATCATCAGTGTTGCTAAAACAATTTCCACCCTGAGTCCAGACTGAAATAATATTCTAGACCTGGTCAATTGGATAAGTTTCAAGTTGATTTCAATTCCGTAATTTTTCAGACACAAAGCTTTTAATGCCACAAACCTCATCTGGCCTGGGTGTCTCTATGTCTGCAAAACAGGCACATCCTAAGAAGCTTCACAGTTTAAGTAGGATCATCAATCCTGTTGCCTGGAAGTTGGGAGAGATCATTGTCTAGGGACAGCGAACAAATACGGAAGGTATATGTGACCTGGATCAGAAATGACCTATGAAATTCAGAGAAAAGCAGGTGCCGTGAACGTGAGGCTTTTTCTGTCCAAGAGATCACCACTGTAAGCCCTGCAATGGGTAGTGTAGGGTATTGCATCACCCTCAGCAACAAAGCATAGGGGGAAGCTGCTTTATGAAGCCTTTCGTCTGGCTGCCCTGTAATCGAGGACACAACCAACCACGTTAGCTCTGGATTGGATGAACTTCTCTTACCTGGGGCGGGCTGTTTGATGGGAAGATGAATGGAATGCCCCCAACCTCCTCCTCCTGTCTGGCTCCTCACGTCAGCCAGCCAGATGTCTGAGACGCAGGCTTCGCAGGGTGTTTACAGCGCGCTATTCGAGAGTGCTTTGTTCTTTTAATTTAAAACAGGAAACATGGAATGCAGGAGATCCAAAAACTTCAAAGGAAGTTTCCATTGCCAAAGGAGTTGCATTTCAACTCAAGTTCATTCTCTGGGTTAAATATTCAAATCTGACAGTGTGGGAAGATGCTCACACCTTCGAAAGGATTGACGATATCTAAGGGACAGAGGGATTCAGATTAGTTGGCTGTAAATATCAGTGTGACAAACTGAGCAGTACAACTGCTCCTACATGGAAGTTTTATTTTGAGCTCCTCAGTTTGAAATAACTTTCTAATAATACCACAGCTTTAAAAATACACAAACAATATAAAACATGTTTCCTCTACCCTGATATACATAAGATCCGAGTACTACATTCCCCCTCTCTTTTCAAACTGTCACTTGCTTTTAAGTTTCCTGATAGATTTCATTGTCAATTTAAAATTTTTACATTATAGTTTGGAAAAAGGAAGAACTCAAAAGCTGCAGACTACACAGGGCTCCAAAAATGTGCCTTCAGACAGTTTGTTGCTATTTGTCTGCTTTACTGTTCCTCCTGTCAATTCTCAGTTGACAGGAGTGAATGTTTCAATTAACTAGCATACACATTTTCCCAAACAAACAAGTTTTATAGAAACATGTTATGTTGTTGTCCCCAGGGGGAAGGTTTCTTGATTTTTTTCTGTTTGTGTTTCTATTGCCCATTTAGCACATGCTTTAGGCACCCACCAGATCCTCTCTTTACCATTCTGCTGCCTACTGCCACACTTCACATACCCCGTTTCAGCCCAAACACAATGTTCCTTGTGTCCACCCTTCAGTCTCACACACATTTTTACATTTCAAAACCAGATAACCGATCTGTCTGGATTCACCTGTTCACAGGCAGCCACTTACCAGCAGAACCACCTCTGGAGACCTCACCGTTTATCACTGTTGACCATATGGCAGAATAAGGACGAGCCCGGTCAGAGCAGCCGTCAGAGGGAGGAACGCACCTGTATGGGAGAGATCACTAATGTGGCCATCTGCTACTATAACTATGTGGGATATGGCTCCACGAAGCCCACAGGACTCCAACCGAAGTAGAAAAATTCAAGATTACAGCCTATATTTTAAAAGGCTCAAACTACATATTCAATTCTATACATATACATTCACATCTTGAAACACTTCTGATTTTACATATTTAAAAAAAGACTTGAGAACTACATAATCTTTCTGTTTTCCTCTATTTGCTTCCCTCATTTTCTCTTTTATTTGACACTTGCACTTCAGTTTCCTTATGTTTCACTTCCTCCTTTGTCCTTTTCCCTATGTTTTTCCTTTCATGTTTTACCATTCACGTCCCTATTTTTCACATGTCTTTATCTTCCTCATCTTTCCCCATTTGCTAACTTCTCTGCTTAGAACTGTCATAGCCAGCTTTTCTCTCCTCCTTCACCCCAAGATGTGAGTTGGAGAGCTAGAGTCTTTTTCACACCACTCTAGAGATAAAAGACATACAGGAGATGCATAAGGCAGATGAGAAGCAAATACAGACCACTCAGAAAATTCATTTACTTGTCTGCTTCCACATTAAAGATCTAATATATTGTCTATGCACAGTCCACAAAGGACTCAAATGGTCCAACAGCAATTAGATCAGACCAGTTTACCACCAATTTCTCAAAAAACTGAGCAACAAGCATTGCCTAATTCAATACTTATCAAGCGTTCTCTCTACTGCTTTCTGCCAAAATATAGTATTTTCTTTACAAATCATATGTTGTCTTGCTCCTTAGGAAATCTAGTGTGTAAAGGCGAATTTGAAAATACTCCTTATGAAACATGGGAGATACATGGTTTTCTAAATGTATGCAGAATTTGAGAGTTACTTCTGGTGACAAGCCCCTAGACAGACTCACCTCTGGATAGAAACTATCATCCCAAGAGATGCCTGTATATATATGCTATATATAAATAAGAACTGGGGAATGTAAATGAACCTATATTCCAAACTTAACAGCAGTGGCTGATATTCCTTCCAGTACTACCAACACATTCGTAAAGCTATATATAAATAAGAACTGGGGAATGTAAATGAACCTATATTCCAAACTTAACAGCAGTGGCTGATATTCCTTCCAGTACTACCAACACAGCGCAGCTGGGGCAGCACGCTTTGTCAGGGTATGTTAGGAATAATATATAAACCACGTCTAAAACAATCCAGTGTGCATTGCTCACTAATTCTTAATACAGAGTGACAGCATAAGCAATAAAAGCTCCGGAGCCAGCCTACGATGTGACTGCATCCTGGGTTTACTACCCTAGTGCTGGTGAGATTTAACTGTTCCAGTGACACAATATATCCAATTGAAAAGAAACAGGGACATCCAGCACTTCCCTGAGACTTGGCTTCTGCATAGTGTTAAACCAACATAACAATTCAAAAGGATAAGCAAATATTAAGAAGAACACAAACTGTGTCCAAAGCAACAAAGCCATAGATAAGGCATCCTTGTTTTTTGCAGAACAAAAAGCATTAAAAACAAATAAACAACTCCCCCCCCAACAACAACTCCTCAAACCAACAAAACTCAAATCCCTGTATCTTTTATCTCATTGTTTCATTTCAGCTTAATTATACTGTTAATAGTTGCAGGTGACGACCTCTCCTTGCAAATGCATACACAGCCCAGGCTCTATGTACACCATACCCGTGGACTGTATATATGGCTGCTTTCACCCAGTGAGAAAGATAAATAGGATCTGCCTCACACTTTTGTTTTTATTTTTGCTTGTTCTATTCAAGCATTTTGCTCCTGCTTCTGTTGTTTTACAAAGAGAACAGAACAGCAACTACTGCACTTCCCCACGGCTTGAGCGAAGCTGACAATAGATGAGCATTGCTGCTTATCCTTTGCAGGCTGAAGGATCATTGCATCAGAGAAAATAAGTCAGAATTAGACAGAAGTTCAAAGTGCAAAAAAGCAGGACACGTGACTAGCATGGCATCTCGAATGCCTGAGGTAAAGAAGCCTTTCCCGCTGACAACTGGACTAATACCCCATACAGCTAATATACAAAACATACAAAGGCAGTCAAACCTGACAGTAAAGGGAGCAGAAGCTCTTCCATAGACATAAGGAGTGCACCAGAGAAGAAAAAAAAAAAAAAAAAAAAAAAAAAAAAAAAAAAAAAAAAAAACAACAAACATGAGTCTACTATCGACATATTCTGATTTGCTCTTGGAAAATCCACACAATACCCCCATTATGCAATTTGATTTTTCAGACAGCACAAAGCAGACAAAATTGTTCTGACAGGAAGACAAGAGTTCCTTTAATCTTCGACTCTCCAAACAAATTATGCTCTCTAATTAATACCTGAATCCAGTTATTTATGCACACAAACTGGAGCTTAAATTTTCTGCATCACTGAAGCACCCCCTTCCCATAGCCTCGGCTAGAACTGAGCACGCACAGATGCACCTCTAGCCATCGATGCTTTGCTCTAGGCCAGTCACAGCCACCACACACCCCACAGACCCTCTATAAAAGGATCTCTCTCTCTCCACGTCTCTTCTCTAAGAATTCGGAACGTTGCCCGTAAGGGTTATTCCTATCACTTTGGCTTTTGGTAAAAGCCATGCAGGTGAGACAGAAGACGCTGCTTCAGAGGCTTGAGAATAGAAGAATTGCTCTTTTAGCTGTGTGATAAACAAGAAGAAATTATTTCAATCATAAAATAAATGAAGTGACAATAGTAATACATCACACTAAGCCAAAATTCAGCTTGCCTACGTTCTAGGATGCTTACTCTGTACCTAGGTAAGAGGTACAGAGACAACTAACTGTGAAGTTCACATGGTATTTTCTCTTTCCAGGAGAGATGGCTATTTCAACCTGCTCTTCTTACAAAATGTAGAAAACCTACTTTCAGTGTAACCCTTGTCTCTCTCTCTGTCAGCTCAGGATTCTAAATTTTGCACCACTCTTGGAAAGCAACATGGGTTTTTAGGAGCTGCTCCCATTCACAAGCCCGCTGTGGGATGTGGCATGTCTTCTGAGATCCGTATTTGGGAGTGAGAGCATCTCCCTGCCCAAGTTTCCATCTCACATCTTCTTAGGCATTTTCCAGCATCCACCCAATGTGCATTAAACAGTGAGCAATTGAGAGTTCAAGCAAATGATATGGAGGAATGGATAATTAGCCCCTAGGAACGCATCCAGCTATAGTTATACTCCATGAAGGTTAGAGGCCCGATTCCTCCTCATTTAAATCTGATATTGAAGGAATTTATAGAGCTTTACCCAAGCCACTAATTTGCAATTTCACTGCAAACAATTTACAATCAAATGAAGTGAAAGCTAGAAGCAAAGAGTACATTAATGACTTAATTTTCCTTTTGCATTTCCCTTCATTTTATCTTCCAGTGAAGACCAATCTTAAAAAATAGGATAATTGGCCTGCAAATAAATAGAAACTTTTTTCTTTTAATTATTACTGCATAAAAGCTGAATTGCTGGTATGAACTACAGTGCAGTCTTCTGCTGAGGACAGTCCTGTATGACCAACAGAAAACATCACTAATGGGAAACATCACTATTTCTCAGACTGAAATTCATGCTCTAAAGAAGCAGCACAAAAAGTATCACAGTATCTGAATACAAAATGTAGTGTTCTGGGCTAGCAATATGCAATTTGTAAATTATACAGCCGTGTGCACTGAAGATGTTACTCAAAAATACAGTAACTATTCTGTCAAAAAGGAAGCATGAATGTCAAAGCAGCTTTTGTAATACTTTACTGGAGCTTCATCTATGCTAGGAGAGATCTAGGTGCAGCTAAACCTGAGAAAATTTTTTTCTTCGGTTTAGAAGAAAAAGGCATTGGTCAAGTACCAAGCCTCAGTCTAAGGGCAGGAGCTAGGACAGGTGGTTGTTCCAGAGGACAGTGGTCAGTCTGAGGCTTGCTCCTAAAAGAGACACCCTGCCGCCCCCTGGAACCGGCTCTAGTGCTGAGCTGATCTGTGGAGAAAGCCAGAAAACTCAGAGTTCTATAAATAGTTAATTTTCTGGAGGTTTAGTGAGCTGAGCGGGCTCAAGGGGATCAGTTGGCTGCCAAAACACAGGAGGCAAGTGGCCAGAAGCAAGGCAGGTCTGCCTCTTCCTGCAGCAGAGAGCTGCTAAAAGCTCAGGAGATACAGAGTCAAAGCTGTCTGGGAAAGCTGGGGTGCTGCACTCATCTCAACTCTTCCATTCCCACATCTCCCGTCCCACTTATTCTCATGCCCATCTGACACCCAGACCCAATTCAGATGGTTAAACCCCTCTGGCAACAATGAGCTCAAACCACATCCTCTGACCAGCTTAACCATCTCAGCAAACTTCACCATTACGCTGGACCAGACTGAACTGCTTTTAAAGAAGTGATCCGAAATTCTGCCCTAACTGCAATGTCTGTGGCTGGACAATTAGCACAAACTCTGAACACCAAGCTACAATGCTGCTGTTAGAAAGAAAGAAACCTTCTGAAAGAAATGTAATGGCCGGAAAGACCTTCTATGCTCAAGATACCTGCACAGCCTCAACACAACCCTGCAGACGACTCAAGCACCTGTACGGTAAACTTTCAAACTCCTCTCTGTGCCCAAGTCCTGTTTGTTGGCACGATGCTGCACGGGAAAGCAGGAGGCTGCCACAGGAGCAGGAATCCCACGCACTGCTGAGAAAGGTGTTCAACGTCAGCGGGTGGAACCCACCACTTTTGCCTCCAGGTATACCTGCACCGCGTTTGCTCATCACGAGCCCAAAAGAAATGCACAGGAAGAGCTTGCAGTTAAAGAGCTTGATGGAGGAACAAGTCTGAGCCCTGCTTAAGATGTGAAATTGCAAGAGGCTGAAACACCTAATTGGGTGGAAAGCTGGGTCTGGCCCAACTTGGCTGAGTAAAGTAAATCAATATGCCATCAAGGAGAGTAATGCAGCAAGGTAAAAAGAAGTCTGGTTTA